GCTTGGATGGAATATAGAGAGCCTTACAAGGGAGGTAGTGGTAGAAACAAGTTTTTAGTGCTGGAAATGTGCCGTTCATGTTTGGACTTTGGAGATCAGTTGGTCACTTAAGAGGATTAGTATCAGGGCCAGACTGAAAGATCTTGACTGTTACACTAAGGATTGTTTATATGCAAGTGATGGGGCTTCCTTGACTGATTTGAGTAAGAGGTTAATACAATTTAAAAAGTACTTAGGAAGATTAATTTAGTCATGGAAGGGCAGGGTAGATTGATGTACATAGAAGATACAAAAAAAGAAAAAAACACTAATTAGGGAGGTGTTTTTGAAGTAGTTAATGCTGAAACTTGAGGTGGTGGTAAACGTGGAATGAATGCTTTATTAAAATATGAAGGTCTGTAATCTGCCTTTTGATATTATTGCTGCATAAATGCATCTATTTTATATTATTATTTTATTTATTTATTTATTTTTTGTTTGAGAGCAAGAGAGGGAGAGTATGATGGTGATAGAGGGGCAGAGGCAAAGAGAGAGAAAATCCCAAGCAGCATGGAGCCTGACACAGGGCTGGATCCCACAACCCTGGGATCATGACCTGAGCTGAAATCAAGAGTCAGATACAACCTCAACCAATCGAGCCACTCAGGCGCCCAGGCAACTAGATGTTTAAAGAAAAACTATGTAACTTAAGCTGTTAGTCAAACTAAGGGTAGTGTTACAAAGCAAATTTCTTTTGTTTTTCTCTACTGATAACATTCAGCTATTATCAAGAATAACAAAACATCTCTGTGAAGCTTAAGTATTAGTATCCTTTTCAAATGTTTGAAAAACTTAACTATCAAGTTTAGTGCCATTTTATTGTAAGCAGTAACTGATAAAGAAATGCAGCAAATGATAAATACAAAGTAAAGTTCTAAAAATAGAGTTTTTTTCTTTAGAGTTTATATTTTTACACTTTGTTAGTCAATTTTAGAATATGCCTCGCTAAGTAAGAATACCTAAATATAAATAAGTAATAACTTCTAAGTATAAATTTTAAATATGATTTTGTAACTTCTCAAAAATTGGAGCTTTTCAGTGATGACTCTCCTAAATTTATTATATATATGAATTTATATGTTATTTGAATGAGTGAAAGCTACTACAATTATTCCATATTATGTAAATTGAGATACCCGACTTTACAACAAAACAGAACATTTGAAATAAGCTTTTTTTTATTAGAAAAAATGATTTTAGTATTACTTGTAAGAGTTTATTACTTTTTTCTCCTCCATTAATATTTCTTCCATAGACCCAACAATAAGATTCCTATTGTGGATAGAAATACATTCTTTTAGTAAGAGTACAAGCTAAGGTGCTTTTAACAAAGAGAACCCCAAATTCTCAGTGTTTCAAACAAGATAGAATTTTATTCATCTCTCATTTAACGGTTGAAAGGTAGACAAGGTAGTCAGGAGGGAGTTGGCTCTGTTCCATAAGGTCATCCAGGAAAATTTCTTTTGTTTCTCAATCATCCACCCTGGGTGCATTGTTGGTTTGTTTGTAAGTTTATTTATTGTGGGGGGGGGGGGAGAGAATCCCAAGCAGGCTCCGCGCCATCAGCACGGAGCCCGATGTAGGGCTCAAACCCTTGAACCATTAGATCATGACCTGAGCCAAAATCAAGAGGCTGACGCTTAACCAACTGAGCCACCCAGGTGCCCAAACCTGGCTGCGTTGTTAAGTACAGTAGTTACTAGCCATATGTGGCTATTGATATTTCTATTTAAATTACGTTAAAAATGCAGTTTTAATGTATTTTAAGCTCTTCATAGCCACATGTGGCTGTGGCTATTTTGGACAGTGGGGGTTATAGACTACTTCCATCATTGCAGAAGGTTCTGTTGGTCAGAGCTGCTCTAAGAGCATTGTTCTTGTCGGCATGGTTTTTGCTGGCTCATGTTGGCTTGAGTTCCAGACTACAAGTAGGGAAAATGAGAGGAATAGAGGGTGGGAAAGGCACGGATTTGTTAAAAATGACTCAAGAGATGCACAAATCACTGCTTACAGTTCATTGGTCAGATTTAGTGATATGCTGACACTCCAGTGCAGCTGGAAGGGCTGCTAGCTGAGTGGAATGTACCCTTCTAAAGTTTGGTTTAGTCCCGGGTGCTGTGGAGGCAGGGATCCTATGACCAAAAGGAAGGAGATGAGAATAAATACCAGAGGACATTTGGCAGTTTAGGTCACAGGTACCCAAGATGTTAGTAATTAGAATAAGGTTTCTTCCTGTCTCACACAAAGTAGACAGGCATCATTGTAGATAAAATGCTTAATTTTAAGTGACTATGCTGAGATTAGCCTATAGTTACAAACATTTTTTGCTACTTTATTTGAATTGCTTCTGAAAGTTTACAGAATTAATGTTATGATCATTTTGACAACAAGGCCATATCTAATGTATTACTTCTGTCTTAAACTTTGTGGGAAGAAAAATTGTTTGTGATTGCATAAAGACTAGAACTTTTATTTCTATCTTATTGATGTTCAGTAATTTTAATGTTTTGATGCTGAGCATCAGTGTGAAGTGTGAAAAGTACTAGCTAGTGGTTTAATTTTTCCTTTTCTTTCCCCACACCTTCTTGCCCTCTCTGTGTCTGTATATTTAACCATGATTCTAAACTACTTGGGGCTTATAATGAAGAGCAGCAGTCTTTTTTTTTTTTTTTCCCATGCCATTTTGTATCCCTGCTTTTATTACTCTTTAAGAGAGACACTGAAATGTTCATGTTTACAACTTCCATATTTCTAAATAATATGCCTTTTTCAATATAACTTGATCTATCAGTTTTGTAAATTACGTACTGATTATTATCATAGAAGACGATTTGGCTCCTGTACTACCTTTTCTCTCCCTTCTTCACTATTCTTTTATTCTTCTGTTAGCTTTAATATTTCTTAAACTTCTTTCATGTCCCTTCAGTTAAAGATGGTATCTCCTCTCTCAAATTAGCAATTAAAAATTTTAGTGTTCCTAATCTTCCTTCCTCATATCTTCTCTCTCTCAATTTTTGTCCTCTCTTCCTTTTAAATTGTCATGGTCAAATATATTTACATTAGTTTCTGTGGCTATAATTAAGTCTTTTAGCTTTTGTCTATTGCTGGATTCTAAAAATCATAATTTGTAAGCAGTTAAATTTTTAATGACTCCATAACTACTTTTCATTGAAAAGCTAATGGTAGAGCGGTGACAGTTTTCTTCATAGCTTTATTGTTTATAACTTAGTTTAAAATTCCCTCATCTCTTTTTGCTTTCTTGCATTTAAAAAAAAATTTCCTAATTTCATCTTGTATTTAGGTCATACTCTCTATTAATATCTATAAACTTTTAATTTTTGCCCACTGCCTACTTTCTAGAGCCTTCTTTCTTTCTGTTCTAAACTGTTTTGTCACTCAGTGCTTTTCTAACCACTTTTCATTTTTATAATAGTTGTTGGAAATTTGTTAATGTTTATTCCTTCTTTTTCTTCTTGTTAACTGCTTATTTGTAACTTGTTAAAATTCCTTAGTTTTATTTTGGTTTGTGAGGATATGAAGGCATGTGCTCATCTCAACATCTTGACTCTGCAGTGTCAATGTTTATAGAGTCAGAGCTGTAGAGTCATCTTGATGAAACGTGATGAAGTCTCCTGTTCTAAATTGTTGGGGTTAAGGGGATTGGAGAGACATTTAAAGATATATAAACATAACTTTTTCTTTCACTTATAAGTTGTCATTAATATTTTAATGTAAATATTTTTTTCTAGAATAGTTCTGCTTTCATTTGTTTTCTAAGACCCTAGAGTTTTCGTAGTTTAGAATACATTATTTGTCTTGATAAAGATTGCTTTGTTTTACTTTTTATTCTATTTTTGAAGATCTAGATCTTCAGATTTAGGTCTATTTTTCATTACAAACAGTCTTCTGCAACTATTGCTCAGCATTTCCTGAAATTGACCCATTTTACCATTACATCTGGAGAGTGACTAGATGGCATATAGTGATGTTAAAAGAAATGTTTCCTAGGTGAGGAAGCTAATGTTAGTTCTGAACTCTAATGGGTCTCACCATCAGTCTGGGTGATAAGTTGTGCAGTACTCTTAGGCTACTTTTTATCTTTACAAGAGAATAGTATTGTAAAAATGTCAAAAAAAATATCCACATGCCCAGTTCACTGGTAAATATACTGCTAAATTTGAACCTTTTTGGCAGTAGCTTAGGCTACTCAAGGGACCATATTTTTACAGAATGATGTATTTCAAAGGGTATTGGTTTCCATTGTAGAAAATTCATGCATTTAGAGCAACTTAAAGCCAAAAACAATTGTGCTTGTGCTGTGGGTTTAAAATATTAGTCATCTTGAATACGTGTCCAGGTTAAATGTCAGAAGCTATATATTGCACTAAAAGAAGATTTATTGTTACCAGATTAGACTATGCCTGTGCTTATATAACCTTTTCCTTAGAGGATCAATTGAGTATATGAACTAATATCAGCCAGATTTTTGTACACTAACATTATTGATAATAAAGGAGAAGTTCATTGAAGAGAAAAACAAATAAAGGAAGCATAAAAGTCTAATACTGTATGAAACTACAGAAATGGATCAAAGAGTTTGACAGGAAGTTTAATGTGTACATAAGTAGAAGCTGACAGCAACATGCTGTGTGTGCCAAAGGTTCCAGTGATGGAAAACCGAAACATAGTGCTCACTGACCACAGCATGAGCCTTGACACACATTGTAAATAATCCAGAGATCTATGACTGCATTAAGCACCAGGCTGGTGTATTAACGGCAGTAAATCTATAGCTGCATAAAGGGCTGGCATGCTGAAATTCTTCGGATTAATTTTTGTAATGGATTAATAGGAATTCAGCAGATATTTTCATTTTGAATTCTACCATCCTTTAACCTCCCCCTCCCTGCCTCCTTTGCCCTCCTAAGTATGATCATTTTTTATTTCCTTCTACTCACCAGACTTGTGTATGTGGATACTTGTCTCGGTACCATCAAGTTAAAAGCTGAAGATGCTTCTGGTAGGAAGCATCTAATTACTCTCAAGTTGAAGGCAAAGGTATGTGCTTCATAAAACTCTTATGGTCAGGAAATACTTTGTGAAATGAACTCTGAATCTTTTCAATGTAAAGAAGTGCTAGTTGCCTCAAAAAAAAAAAAAGTATTTGGTACTTTAAAAAATTTACTTTGTAAAACTCCTAAAACTTATCCCTCAGGTTTCTAAATGCCTAGACATAATTTCATGTCACTATTTTAGTGCAAATTGGACCAAAATACAGACTGCATAATACATACAATGGATAAGATTCAGCAGTCTTCACATGCCATTTGTAACGCTGTACAAAGAAAAAATTTGAGAGGTTCCACTCTCCGAAGTAGTTTCACTGAAGTCTCTTGTCTTCAGCTCTATTAATTGCATTTGTAGTTCTTATTTCTGAACATCGCCCAGACTCTGCAGACACATCCATCTGCATTGCTTTTTATTGCTTGTTTGTTTTGTCTGAAATTTTACTCCTGTAGTTGAAGAATTCGCAAAGGTTATGCCTTCATTTGTAGAATCTTCACACGTTAGTGATCTGTGATTACTTACTATATTGGCACAAGACAAACTGTTTCATATTTATTTTTCAGTTCTAGATTTTTAATTTTGAGAAATTAGTAGAATAAGCAAGTTCAGCATATTAATCATTTACTTGGTAATCACTAGGGAAACATTAGAATTTGAGAAAACTAGGACATTTAACTTTTTTTATTGTTCCTAGGAATCATCAATCAACTCTCTTTCAGAAGATTGTAGTGATGAAAAGATCAATTGTGTTTGTCCTTTTTAAAAATGTGTCTGGCATTTAAGCTTTCCATGAGAGAAAATTAATATATAGAGCTGTACTGGATGACACAGAAAAGTTGGTATCTTATAATGCCTCTTTATCAGACAAGTTGAGAAATGACTCATTCTGTCTTGTTCTCACACACAGAATATTCCGGTATAATTTTAAGATTCACAAGTGTTAAGTGTTGAAAAACTTAGTGGGATAGAAATCTTCTTTGTGAAAGAAGATACATGGATATTTTTGTTAAGATGAAAACATTTTTATTTTCTTTTTATAGGTGTGCTTTTTTTTTTTTTTTTCTTTTTTCAGATCAGGACGAAATCTTACTTTATTCTACCACCAAAGGTCACGTACTGCTAGTGGCAAGGGTTTTGTCATTTACTTCAAAGTTTTATTTGTTAATACTTTGTACACCGATAAAACTTGTTTGCCACTGTGAAGACCAAAATGAAAAATTTTAAATGTATCTCATCCTTATTCTGGGTGCTGGCAGGGGTCATGGCTTTTCAGTAGCTTTATATTTACCTTTTTTGTTTCTTTTTTACTAAGAAGATGAGCTTTACATCAGCTCTGCCTGTAACTACAAGATTTTGTTATTAATTCTAATTAATGACAGTAGTAGTAGTACTGAGTGAGAGTGAGGATGTAGCCACTAGTATGGACCATCGTGTTTGCTTTTTATTACCCTCTTTTTGGGGAGATAAGTGTTTTACACTTAATGTAATTTCTGTGAAGAATGTTGTTACGTGTCTGTTTTTGCAGCATTGATAGCTTGAAGCATTATTATGAATGTTCTAGCAAGAGAGACTAGAAAGCTTTATTTAAACTAGGAAAGAATTAAAAGAATTTATAGAAAAAAAAAGGGTGGAAATGACGAATCTTATGTTGGTATGATTTTATTGGAGTCTTTGTCAATTCAGTTCAATTTTCATAGGCCAGAGTTGTATTTTAGATGTGGTAATTTCGGTTTCTGCTTCTTGTTTTTCTTCTTTTTGTTGTTCTTCTTTCCTTTCCTTTCCTTCTCTGTCTTTTTTCTTTTTTTAGGAGTATTTGGGATTTTCAGGTACAAACACTGATAGCTGAAGCTATGTGTTAAGAGAATATAATGCAAATATCATAACTCAAACTAAATTTTAAAGCGTCAAGCTGATTTAAAAAAAAGTAAACCTTAAAGCAGGCTTATTGTAAATATACAAACTTTTATTTCTTTATTTTTTGATGTATAGTTAAAAGAACACATTTATTTTTTTGCTTCGATACATAGTCTCCCAATTTTGCCATTCCCCCCTCACTGTTTCCAACACTTTTTTTTTTTAATTTTTTTTATGTTTATTTGTTTCTAGAGAGAGAGACTGCTCGCGCTGCAGGGGAGGGTCAGAGAGAGAGGGAGTGACAGACTCTGAAACAGGCCCCAGGCTCTGAGCTGGCAGTCAGCACAGAGCCCGACGCGGGCCTCGAACCCACGAACCGCGAGATCGTGACCTAAGCGAAAGTCGGACGCTTAACCGACTAAGCCACCCAGGCGCCCCTGTTTCCAACACTCTTAAAGAAAATATCAATTTTAAGTAAACACCCTATTAAGTGAATATATAAATCAAAACATGGAAACAGTTGAACTTTGTCATTTTTCTAGGTGTATTTCTATGCAGTATTTACAATACCTGGTGAACTATGAGATAGAACTCTTACCTTTTCTTTAAAAAAGTGGACCAGAGCTTCCTCAGCTTTGGCCAAGGTCAGAACTACTTGAAAAACAAATCACAGATGTTTCTGAGGCTGGGGGCACTCCATCTCTGATGGCTGTTTCTGTAGTTTTCTACAGTTTGTATGTATTTACTTGGAGGCAGCCTTACTGCTTAGATGATCCAATCACAGAACAATTAGGGTTAAAATTTTCCTTAGAACAATATGCTACAGAGTCTTAAAAAAACTGTATATGACAAATATTTAATATGCTATGATAATTCTTTTATAGTTATTGATGAATTGTTTCAAGTGAGATTGAAAAACTTAATACAAATAATTGATGACTACTTACTTTTCGTTTAATACCCCTTTATGGGGAGCTTTTGTTGTCATTTAGACTGCTCAAGTAAAACTTGGCAATTAATCTCTGGTTTTATATATACCTGTCTATATAGCTTACTATTGAGAACTGTCTGAAGTTTTATAAAGCTCTTCTGCAATATTGCATTAGTTGCCTGCGTTGTGGTTAGTACTACCACACAAATGATTCTGAAATCTCTAAGGTCCTACTTCACAATTCATGTAAAGTCTTCCAGAAGTATATCAATTTGGCTTTTAGGTTCTTTACAGTTATGTACAGTTTATTGTATAAACAAAATTGATCTTGAACATGAATATAACATACAGTACATTTGCATTTAACTCATAGTAAATGTACAGTAAAGTCACATACAGATAGATCAGTCTAATTTATTATGTACATATTTGTATTTCTACATAATTACACATAAAAATATATTTGAAAGAGGTCATCTCAAATTCTATGGTGACTCATATATATCTGGGATCATATTAAATTATTCTAACTTCTTTTTTATTTAACTATTTGTCAGTCTCTTTCTGTATCTGTCTGTATATGTTTATTTACTGAGTCCTATTTGAATGTAGTATCATATTTTCTTTTAAAATAACATGCTGTATGTACTAAATGATTCCCAAAGTCACAGATATTTTCCTTTGTTCATCTACTCTAAATACAGTAACCATTTCATTAACTTCATACTCTCCCTAGACTGATGATTTAAGTTAGAGAGTTGATATTGCTCATTTTCAGCATGAGTAGGAGATAAATAGCAGCAACTCAAATTGAACTAGATGTTCCATTTTTGACCCATGGAGGTTTCAAGTATGCATTATTTTTACAGAATCTTAACACGTTAGAGGGAAGAGATTTTATGACTTGTAGTTGCATTCCATCAATTTTATATATCAAACAGCCAGTGAGGTTAAATGACTTGTCCAAGACATACAAGTTAGCAGATCAGGAAATCAGAGAAAGCTAAGGTCTCTGCCTGCACGCACTTTGAGATAATCACAGGACTTGTAAAAATGGCATATCGATTGTTTTTTGTAGTAATTATAGCAATTATACTCTGAAGTACATCATCCGATACTTAAAAATTTGACCTAGAGCTCCCTCAGTCTCAGCCTGACCTTCTTTTTTCCTTTTCTCCAAATTAAATCATTATTATATTTTTATATGACCTGTATATTTTCCTTTGTGTTACCAGTTCTGTGTAGTCAGATACCATCAGAGTATATGTTGATAGGCTTCCTTTTAGCAAACCACTTATTGTAACAAAGTGTTAATTCTTTTCATAACATTGACTTCAGATGTTTGCTAAATACTGTAATAATTCTTGGAGCTGCTTTGCTTTTTCAGCAAAGTAGTGAGGAAAGTGAAAGGCTAAAACTTATTTTAAACATTTTGTCAAATGAGAGACTGAGGTTTTCCCCAAACTAATTTTCTCTTAGTAAATTTTGCTTTTTATTGAAAAGAAATGACTATTTTATAATTACATGTGACTTTCAAGAATACAGAATTGGATTTTACAGAAATCATGTAGTACAATTCTTTAATAACAAAATTGATTTTAGGAAAAATTGCCTTTGATCTTTCTTAACTTGGACATCTGATTTGTCCTTAATGACTGGCACTTTTTGTGTGAAGCCATTGAATTAATTTTTTGTTTATCAACCATGAAAAGGGTTTTCTTAAAGCTATTACTTTTATTTTTCCTTAATAACTAGAAGGCATTTTATTGCTCCTTTTAAGTTATATTCTTGCTAAAACTGCTTTATTGTGAAAAATACTTCTTTTAATTAATATTTTATATTTTTGTAGATTTTGATTCTTTTAATAAATACAGCATTTTTAAATAGTGACTGAGACTGAGAGTAAATTTTAGGTTGAAAGGAAATTAAGTATCAGTTTTAAAGATGAAAAATCTCTCGTTTTAAAGATAAACTGAGATCCTATGTGGTTCTCTCCTCAGTTTACATTAGCAGGTGACCTGACACTGAATTAATTCATTATTCTTTACTCAAAACCCATTGCCTTGGCATCCCAGTCACCAAACTTTGTAACTCCTGAGCATAACTTGACTATTAATTAGCTGTTGACATTTTCTATATTAGTAGAATCAAAATATTTATATATAACGCATTTGCATTTATAATAAAACTTTTCCTATTCAGTTTTCCTAATATACTTCATGTGAAATTACCACACAGGAGCAAAAATCACCTATTTTTATGCTTTTTTGTAGTACCCTGCAGAATCACCAGATTGTTTTGTGGATTTTCCTGTTCCATTTTCTGTTTCCTGGACACCACAGGTAAGTAAGTAAATTTATTTTAAGCAGCTAAAAAGCATAAGTGGCCATTATAGGTTATAAAGTAGTTCTTTTTTTTAGGTTTTTTTTTTTTTTTTTTGGTAAGCATTTATTTATAAACAGAACTTTTAGAGTGCTTTTTTTTCATATTCTCTAGTAGTTAATATCCACTTTCTCCCTCCCCTCACATGTAAACACACCATCCAGTATTGAGATGTTTATGCCTCACATTAAATAATATGAAGAAAGTCTAATGACAGAAATTTTCCTTTGAATTTAAGTCCTAAAGAACTCTACAAAACCATGAACAGTAAATGGAAAGTTGGGTGAATTTTTCAGATTGCTAAAACTGTTAATATTGATGGCATAATATCAGAGAATCATTTTTCATAGGAGAATGAGTTATGACTGAAAATACAAATCATTTCCACTCAGTTTTTATTATTATAAAGTGGTTCCCATAATTCATCCTTGAACTTAGATTATATTTTTGTATGGGCTTTGGAACATTCATACTTCATGTATAGAATACAGGAGATTCTTGCTCCTGGTTCTGTCAGTTTAATTTCTTAAACTTGATTATAATTTAGCAAGAAGATGAAATTAGAACTGCAGGGTAACAGTAACATCATGTAGCTGTAAGGTGATATGGTATCAGTAGTACCATAATCAGCATGATGTGTGTGTAGTTTAAAGATCTGACAGAGTGGTGGTTAGACTCAAAAAACAATCTAATGATGACCAGGTGGGGTCCTTTCCCCACGTAAATTGTGGCAGTTGATAACAAAATGGAAAGAGCATTTTTATTCTTATGCAAAGAGGGGGGAAAAATACATTCCTATGGACATTTTATTCTCTAGAGGCTACCTATATATTTGTTCTGAAATTTTGATAGTGTCAAGTGAAAATTTATGCTTAATGTTTTAAATAAAAACAAAGTAAAGTAATTGTATATGTTGTTATTTAAAAAATGTAATAGGATTTAAATAGTGTTCTATAAGTCCAAATGTTCTTTTAATCACATATATGTTAAAATTTTTTAAATTTTTTAAAAACAAGAGTTTCCCTTCTTTCAGTGGAAATTAAGAGAACACAGCAAAGTAAAGGAGAAGAAATATGCTGTAAATTGTTTTTGGTATTCTGGTATATGTTATAAATATTTAAGAAATGCTGTGTTGATTTATTTTTTTACAGAAACTTTTCCTCTTTTTCAAATATACATTTTCTGTTTGGCCTACCTTGTTTTAAAAAGTTTTCATCTCCACAAAAAGAGTGTGGAGAATACTTACCTTATTCTGTCATTTAGCAAAATTCTTTTGTGATTTCAGTATACTGGAAAATCTGAGGGTAATTTCTTTCAAATTTTCTGTCCCTACTTAACACCAGCTCAATGCCTTGCACTTTTAAGCATGGGATGAATTTTAGATTTAATTAGGTCATATGGCAAGTTTTCTGTTTTGTTCTAGCTCTAAGGAAGCAACTAATGAGTAACTGGAATGTCCTAAATGCTTTTTTTTAAAATTAAAGAAGATACTAAAACTCCTGGTAAAGCACAGATAAAAATTTGGCTACCTTTTTATCCACAACTCCTATTTGACAGATGTTAATTTTTTGTCATGTTCGTTTCATTTCTCTCTCTTCTTTCTGTCTCTGTCTTAGGAATAAAATGGTCTAGGAACAAGTAAGACTTTATTTTTGCTTTTTTTTCTTTTCTTCTCTACCTTCCCAGAGTAACCACCTTCCAGAAATTGATGCATATTTTATCCATGCATATTTTTTTGCCACATTTGCTCATGCCATAACATAACATTGGCTGGCTGAAGTTTTTAAATAGCATTGTTTCTGATATATACCCACGATCTTTGCATGTTTAGTACATTTACTTTAAGTGCTTAATATAGTTCCATTCTGTGAATCTGCCAGTTAATTTATTCATTGTCATACTGATTAGGTTGTTTAGTTTCTTAGGTAGTGCTGTGGTGAACATCCTTATGTTTTCTTGTACACATGGGAGACTTTTGGGGTGGCTTATGCCTAGAAGTGAAAATGTTGGATTGAAGGGAATGTACCTCTCTGAGATTACTAAATATTGCCAAATTGCCTTCCCAAATTGGTTGTCTAAGTTTATACTCCTACCCAGGATTGCATAGTAATACCTACTTTTCCAAATCCTTTCCAAGTGATAATCTGACTGTAGTCTGACCTTAATTTTTAACAAGAATTGGTAGTCATCATTATTGTACTTATAATCTTTGTTTATTTAAAATTTTTTCTTATATTGTAAGCGTCTCTTTTTTATTCGGATGCCAGTTGTTGGTTGCGTGGGTTGTAACTGCTTCTTTCGGTGGCATACTTTTTAACTTTGTAAATGATCTTTTCTCTCAGTCAGAAGTTTAACTTTCAGCGTGGTCTCATTTATCATCTTTTTCTTGTAATTTCTGCTTTTTTGGCTTGAATGAGAAAATCTTTCGTATCTTGTTCTGAAAAGATAGTTTCCTAATATTCTAAAGTTATATGTTTTTCTCATATTTTATTAGGAGACGGAACTTTATTTACACTTGGCTATTATATATGCTCATAAATTTGGATATGTCTTCATTGTGTAGATCTAGGAGTAATTTCAGTTTTTCTTTTACATTTGCCATTAAAATTTAGAAAATTTTCAAAATACCTTATTTACCTATTATTTAGCGTCTAGCATAGCAGTACATCATAAACATTTTGGTGATCCTACCAATGGTATGAAATCTTGAGTCTTTTAGACACGGTAAGAATATTGGCAAGGTTTACGTTTTAAAAATAAGAAGGAATAGCAGACCACTTTGTATGATCTTTTTTTTTTCATTGTCTTTTTGGCAACATTTCTGCTTGTGGGAGTTATTTTTTCTTAATTTTTAAACAGTTATAGTTCTTAAGCAAAATAAATGTAGTCTAACAGCATACTTCTGTTTACAAGATTGTAAATAGGTCCCAGATAATTGATTTAAAAAATACTTATCTGTTTTTGTACATTTCCTCTTTGGATTCAAAGTGTTTCTGGACTTTAAACTTGGAAGATCTTTATTTTCCTTTCTTTTTGTGAAATAATAGGCATGGCTTTGTGGCATCCATATTAAAAATGGGTAATTTTCCTTATGGTCCCTGTCTTCCTGCTGGGTTGATAATGTTTTGATGTATTTTTCTTTTGCTCTGATGAGAGGTCTGCTGCTGCTGCTCTGACATATTCATTTGGATGAATAATTATAACTTGCACAATGTCAAGCTGAAGATGGTAGGGTTTTGTGCGTCATGACAAGCCTAGTAGCCAGTGCAGGTGTCTCACAGCATGATCAGCAACAGCCAGTGTATTCTGGCTCAGAGGAGACATTTAGAGTAGTAAGAAATCAGCACCAAGGGCAAGGCTGCTGCCACTACTGCTGCCGTGATCTGTGCCAAAGAAACACAAAGTGCTTCTCAAAGACAAGCGCCTACATACGTCTTTTCAGAGATTTACTTTGTTTACCCAATAAATTTTCTTTTATAGATTTTAGCATAGGATGTAAGAATGTCTCATGGTTTTTATATTAGTCTACTTCCCAGCATCACAGATGCTCCAAAATGTACCGCAACAATCTGCTACCTTTTGGACGTCAACTTCTAGGTTATATTTGCGAATTTTGTTGACAGATGAGACCGTAGAATGCGGTAATGTAAGATTTTAAGGGCACTGATACTGGGATCTATAAGAACAAAATTCATTCTCTCCAGGTCACTGATCAACCCCAAATAGGTGTTAGAATTGCGGTTCTGCCTATAATTGTGACATTAAGTGCAGGTTTGGTGACGTATCCTTGCGATTGCAGTTGGAATTTTCGGATTTGGTATGATACATTAAGCAGTTGTTTTTATATTTCTTATCATGGAAATCTCATATTCTTAGAATAATGCCATGAGTGCAAGAATAGCAAAACTAATGATGAAGCCTCTGGCTGATAAGCTGATGGTGAATGAAGAATTCATAATTAAAGGAAACAGTCCTATTACATAGCAGGGAGCGTGATCCATTAGTTGGAGCAGCAGACTAGCAGTTGGGTATCGTTGGTTTTGTTTACAGTTCAGTCACTGACTTAATTGTATAATTTCAGACAAGTCATGTGACTGCCTCTTGCCTCAGTTTATATGTATATGGAAATAATGACCTTCTTTTTCACAGAGATATTAAGAAAAATAACTTTTATTTAAACAGAATGTCAGGGGGAAAAATCCTCTGTATCCCCTCTAAGGATCCTGTGGAACTACTCCTATTTTGCCCTCCTAGATTGTCTTTCTTTCCATTTTTTCTCTTCGCTCTCATTGTTGGAGAACTCCTCGTACTGGATTCTTGGTCACTCTTAAATTGGCTAATTAAATAGGCTTTTGCCGAGGCAGTTTTATTATTACCATGGTAGTATGCTTAAAAAGACATCAAAAGACCAAAAAAAGAAACCTAATTCATTATTGAGATCCTGTGATATGGTAGAAGTATCAATGTGATATTTGCCTCATTAATCTATTAACCATCTTTCATTCTTTTTCTTTAATAATTTTATTTTTGGTAAAGTCGATTTATTTTGAGAGAGAGTGGGAGAAAGAGCACAAGCAGGTGAGGGGCAGAGATGGGTGGAGGGGGAGAGAATCCCAAGGAGGCTCCACGTTCAGTGTGGAGCCCAACACAGGGCTTGATCTCCTGACGCAGATCGTAACTTGAGCTGAAATTAAGAATTGGATGTTTAATTGACTGAGCCACCCAGGCACCCAGTAACTTATTTTAAAAGTACCCTGAATTGATTCTAAAAAAGAAAAAAAAAAAAAGAAAAAGAAAATACAAATAAGCAAGATTAATAAAATATAAAATCACCTGTAATGCCTTTATTTAGAATGGGGTTCTCACTGGATAATAGCATGGAACCTGTGCTTGTCACTTGACAAAATATTTTAGTTTTTAGAACGTCACTGATAATGAGCTGCATTTATTCTAGGAACTCCTTAGAATCACTTAGTTTTTAGTTATAATTAGGTTTACATTTATCCATCAAATGAAGACTGTTGTGTCCATAATCTAAGAACTGGTATGTTTACATTTATTTAGGTCTCTCACTTAAGCAGCAGTGGTTTCTTAATCCACATTTTGCATATTTTTGTTGAATTTATTCCTCCATATTTAAAAACATTTTGTTGCTTCTGTGAATGCTTGTTTAAGAAATCCTATTTTCTAGGGGCAACTGGGTGGCTCAGTCGGTTAAGGATCTGACTCTTGGTTTCAGTCATGATTTCATGGTTCGTGGGTTCAAGCCCCACGTCATGCTCTGCATTGACAGTGAGGAGCCTGCTTGGAATTCTCTCTCCCTCACTGTCTGCCCCTCCCCCGCTCTCTTTCTCTCTCTTGCAAAATAAATAAACTTTAAAAAAAAAAATTTTCTAGTTGACCATGACAATATGGGCAAGCTATTTTTTAGCCCAAGTAGTATTTCCTAGCCTCCTTCCCACCTTTTTCCTTCTTCTGCAAAGTCAGTGACTTTTCATTGTTAACTGATCCTTTTGGTGTTATATTATTATTTGTATTAATATTATTACATACTCTTGTAATTACACTGTGTTTTGTTTCTGTTCTGGTCCTTATCTGTTAACTTTCCCCTATAGATGAGGTTTCTGGTTTTTATACCTACACCCACTCCACACATATGCATACTTCTTACCTTCCTATTTTCCCCAAATAGTTTTTTTTTCTTTCTTTCTTTATTTTTTTAATATGGAAAGTTTTGCGAATTTGCATGTCCCACTTTTGCAGGGGCCATGCTAATCTTTTCTGTATCATTCCAATTTTAGTAGATGTGTTGCCAAGTGGAGCATCCAAATAATTATCTTTTACTTTTGATTATATTAATATTCAGGGTTTACATTATTGTGAACACGTATGTATATTATGCAGAGATAAGCCATGTAGTTAACCCTTATTTTTCCTTTGTCACCCTGGCTGTTGCTATTCCTTGAGTTAAGAGTTACCTTACTTCTTCATGTCTGTAGTTTTTTCTGTACTTAAAACTCATTCAGTCTCCAATTTCCATCACTTATCTACATCTCCTCTTAGCCATCTATATTAGGTTTTCTGTTAGCTTTATTTTCTGGGAAATTTCATCAGCGAATAAACTTCCTGTTTTGTTGTTTGTTTGTTTTGTTTTTACTTCTGTCATGTTCATCTCTAAGAGTTCACTTCATAGGTGTATATTCTCTTTTACCCCAGAGATAGTAATGTTTTTCTCTCTTTTTTTTTTTTTCCTCCTCTGAGTAGTTTGTTTCCTTGAGTTGCCTTTTTGTCTAGTCTTATAATCTTTGTTTATCTGCTTGTGATTAAAAGTCAGCTGTAAAAAGCTCTTGGGATGCTCTGAGTGCACATGTGGGGCTTGTCAACTGTGAACTTGAGTGGAGAGTCATCTGAGTAGACCGCATGATAAAGAATGCCAGTGTTAGTACCTTTAGGTCTTTTTGAATGATTGATTGGTTAGATTTCTTGGAGAAGACCCTTCTACCCTTCTGGCTGGTTGCCACTAAGCCAGCAGAAAACATTCCTCTGAGGTAGCAGTTGACCAAGGCTGGTGGACAGGATACCACAGCCTGAATTAGTAAGCAGTTAACGTTATGGCATCTTCTACTGATAAGGCTGAACACCATGGAGCTGTTGAAGAGACATGTTTACAGGGTAAACTTCCATTACCACAGAGCAGATAAATAATGAGGGTGGATTTGGAGCGAAGAGGCAGAAAATGATATCTAAGTTATCACTTGGTATTTTCAGACTCTTTGGCCATTCTTGGTTGTGCATAGTAGTCATTTCCTCCCTTTTTTCCTTCAGTTTTGTTCATTGCTGATATATTTAAATCTATTTTCTTTAATGATTTTCTATCCAGTAGCCTTGTTAGACTCTTCTCTAAAAGTTTATCAATAAATTCATTTGGATTTACTGTGAACAACATCATATCATTTATAACAACAGTTTTATTTCCTTCATTCCCATCTTTACACCTTCCCCCCCCCTCCCCTTTACTGCCCTGGCTAAGCTCTCCAGTACAATGTGAACTATAAATGGTAATAAACACAAGCATTCTTGTCTTCTTCTAGATCTCAAAGGAAAAACTTGAAGTTTTTATTATTAGGTAGATTTTTGTCTATGTATTTCTTGTACTGAAATCCTTTAACAATAATTAATGGAATTTATTTCTATTTCCAGTTTGCTAAGAGTTTTGTTATGACTAGGAAGTTGAAATTATTAAATATATTCTCTTTATATGTTAAGATAATCAAAATTTTTTTTCTCCTTTAATCTGTTAATGTGGTGAATTCTTGGATTTCCTAATGTTAAACCAGTCCTGTGTTTTTGAAATAAACCCTGTTTACAGGCAAGTGACAAAGAGATAAATCCTCTTATTTTCCCACAGGGTTCTTTGGATGTTCATAGAACTTAGGGATGATAGTTAAGAGGAACTAACTTAACAAAAGTCTACTAGGGAAGTTATATCTTCTTTTTCATGCTTTTCTAGATGAAATTGTATAGCTGTCATGGCCGTCTTTCTTCATAGTTACCTGGAAAAAGGACATAAACAGAAAAGTAAGAAGCAACATTTTTCAGTAGGAAACCATTGAAATGTAGCATACATTTATTATCCACTACATGTGGAGCACTGAGCCGGATCCTGAGATTGTTAAGGTGAACTAGACAGATTCTAAAACCTAGGGTAGGCTTTCAGGATTAACTATTAGTCTGATAAGGAGAGAGGTATTTAAAGAGACAATTTTAGTAAAATATGTTGAGTGTTCTGATAAGCTTTTGTGATAAGGTGGAGAAGAGGAATATAATTGGATGTGGCTAAGCAAGCTTTCTGGATAGGATGTTACTTGAGCTCAGTGTGTCTTGAGGAATGAGAAGTTAGGTTTGGGAAGGGAGATGATACTTGAAGAGACAACTGCATTAGCCAAAGAACAAAGGCATGAAATGAGGAGATAGTGCATGAATTACACAGCATTTGGTATTCTGTGGGTCGGAGTTAGAACACTGGAGCTTTTGCTAGAGTTAGGCAGGGTCTAGTGTACTAGCATACCTCGTGTTACGGTATTTTGCTTTATTGCACTGCACACATACTATTTTTCTTCTTCGTTTTTGTTTTTGTGTTTACAAGTTGAAGGTTTGTGGATTCTTGCCTTGAAGTTAATTGGTGCCATTTTCCAATAGCATTTGCTCCCTCTGGTCTCTGTCACATCGTGGTAATTCTTACTCTATTTCACGGCTTTTCATTATTGTTTGCTATGATGATCTGCAACGAGTGATCTTTGATTTGACTGTTGGGATTGTTTTGAGTCCCCATGAATTGCCCCCATTTAAGATGGCGAGCTTAATAAATGTGTGTGTTCTGACTGCTGCACATACTGGCTTTCCCTCATTTCTCTCCCTCTCCCCTGACTGTCCTATTCCCCAAGGCACAGAAATTTTGAAATCAGTTCAGTTAATTACCCTAAATAGCCTCTAAGTGTTCAGGTGAGAAGAAGAGTTTCAGGTCTCTCACTTTAAATCAAGAGCTAGAAATGATTAAACTTAGTGAGGAAGGCATGGCAAAAACCAGGTTAGGCTGGAAAGCGAGGCTCTTGAGCCAAACTCTAAATCAGGTTATGAATGCAAAGAAGTTCTTGAAGGAGATTAACAGTGTTACTCCAGTGAACACACCAGTGAAAAGAAAACAAAACTGTTTTGAGAGTCTGGGTAGAAAGTTGAACCAGCCACAGCATACTTCTACGCCAAAGCCTAATCCAGAGCAAAGCCTTAACTCTCTTCAATTCTGTGAAGGTAAGGAGAGATGAGGAAGTTGCAGAAGAAAAGTTTGAGTCTGCAGAGGCTGGTTCATGAGGTTCAAGGAAAGAAGTCCTCTCTAAAGCATAAAGGGCAAGGTGAAGCAGCAAATGCTGATCTAGAAGCTGCAGTAAATTTTTTCAGAAAACCTACTAAGATAGTGAACAACGGTGGCTACACTAAAGAACGGATTTTCAGCATATACAAAACCGCCTTCTTTAGATGCTGATGCCATCTGGGACTTTCATAGAAGTCCATGCCTTGCCTCATAAGCTTCAAATGACAAATTGACTCTCTCTTTAAGGCCTAATGTAATTGGTGACTTGAAGTTGAAGCCAGTGCTCATTTACCATTCTGAAAATCCTAGAGCTTTTAAGAATTATACTATTAACTCTGTGTGTTCTCTGTAAATGGAATAACAAAGCCTGGGTGTCATCACATCTGTTTACAACATAGTTAAAAAAAAAAAAGGAAAAAAAAAAGATTCTTTTAAAAATATTACTACTCATTGACAACGTACCCGGTCACCCAAGAGTTCTGAAGGCGATGTACAAGGAGATTTATGTTTTCATGCCTGTTAATGCAACATCCATTCAGCAGCCTGTGGATCAAAGGGTATTATTTAGGAAATACATTTTGTAGGGTTACAGCCCTATCGCCCACAGATCTGGGAAAAGTAAATTGAAAACCTTCTGGAAGGGATTCAATGTTGTAGATGCCATAGGAACATTTGTGATTCATGGGAAGAGGTCAAAATATCAACATGAACAGGAGTCTGAAAGAAGTTGATGCAAACCCTCATTGAAGACGTTAAGGGTTCAAGAAATCACCAAATGGAGATATGGTGTTGATGTGGGGGAAACATCAAGAGAACTAGACTTAGAAGTAGAACCTGAAGATGGGACTGATTTGCTTCAATCTCCTGACCAAACTTTAATGGATAAGGAATTGTTTCTTTTTTTTTTCTTTTTTTACAAATAGTTTATTGTCAATTTGGTTTCCATATAACACCCAGTGCTCATCCCCACAAGTGCCCTCCTCCATGCCCATCTCCCCCCTCCCCCCCACATCCATCAGTCCTCAGTTTTTGTCAGCATTCAAGAGTCTCTCATGGTTTGCCTCTCTCCCTTTCCCCCACCATTTCCGCCCTTCTTCTCCCCCTTGTTCCTCCGTCAAGTTCCTCCTAATCCTCCTATACGTGCAAACATATGATATTTGTCCTTCTCTGCCTGACTTATTTCGCTCAGCATAACACCCTCAAGGTCCATCCATGTTGCTACACATGGCCAGATTTCATTGTTTCTCATTGCCATGTAGTATTCCATGGTATAGATAAACCACATCTTCTTGATCCATTCATCTGTTGATGGACACTTAGGCTCTTTCCATGTTTTAGCTATTGTGGAGAGTGCTGCTATGAACATTGGGGTACATGTGCTCCTATGCCTCAGCATTTCTGTATCCCTTGGGTAAATTCCTAGCAGTGCTATTGCTGGGTCATAAGGGAGTTCTATTGTTAGTTTCCTGAGGAACCTCCACACTGTTTTCCAGAGGGGCTGTACCAGTTTACATTCCCACCAACAGTGTAGGAGGGTGCCCGTTTCTCCACATCCTCGCCAGCATCTAGAGTTCTCTGATTTGCTCATTTTAGCCACTCTGACTGGCGTGAGGTGGTATCTCAGTGTGGTTTTGATTTGTATTTCCCTGATGAGGAGGGATGCTGAGCATCGTTTCATGTGTCTGTTGGCCATCTGGATGTCCTCTTTGGAGAAGTGTCTGTTCATGTCTTCTGCCCATTTCTTCACTGGGTTGTTTGTTTTTCGGGTGTGGAGTTTGGTGAGTTCCTTATAGATTTTGGATATTAACCCTTTATCTGATATGTCATTTGCAACTCTCTCTTCCCAGATAAGGAATTGTTTCTTATGAATCAGCAAAGAAATGGGTTTTTGAGATAGAGTCTACACCAGGCAAAGATGCTGTGAAGATTGTTGAAATGAAAGCAAGGGATTAGGAT